AAAAAAAAAAAAAAAAAAAAAAAAAAAAAAAAAAAAAAACTCGTTTAGAATGCGTCGGCTCATTCCTCTCTTACGGGTAGGTCTTCTTGTAATTCGAGAAGAAGTCATTTATGTTATTCGTCTTTCCTATCAACCTATTGTACGCTTTCTCCTCCTTCAGGAGGTTCTTGAACGACTTGCTGTTCGGGTTTATGTTTTCATAAATGCCTCTGTCTGCAGGGGGGTAACAAGAATGGGTAATAAGTATGCGTAATTAGAAAGGGACTAACGAAACAAGAGCAGCACCGCGGAATGGGCGCGCCGCTCAATGGCGCCTGGCCAAGCCTTACACGTTATGGAGGAACTGGACATGACGCTATGGGCGTTAATTTTCTCCATGTTGTTGTGGGTACAATATAAGTTATAAAAGTACAGGAGGATATTCAGTGTGTCAATATTAATGCTTTCCTCATGCAGGAGGAGCTGTATGTTTTTCGCTTTTTGGAAGAACAGGTTGGTGGTTTTTTCATTTATTTTATTTTCATAGAGTTTCCTGTTCTTGTAGCACCAGTCTATTATATGGTCTCTCCTTTTTATGAACGTTTCAATGAAACTTTTTATTTCTTCTGTGATTTCCACGTTTATAATTCTCTTTACGTATACATCGTCTGTTGGTATGTCGGCTGATGATTCAATTGGCGCACCGCTTAACTGGCCTTTGGCTTGTCCACTCTCGTTCCCTTCCTTCGTTTCCTCCTTCTTTTCACCCATCACACTATTGGCCTCTTCCTTGGGAACTCCTGTGGACTTGCCCTGGGGAGTCGCATCCCCTATATGAGCATCATCCTTTACATTGTCCAGGACATGGACAGCACCACCCTTCCCTTGCTTTTCCTCCATTGAACTGACCGAGGTAGCATATTTTTCTTCCCCTTCCATGTCGCTCCCTTTCAACTCGCTGCTATCCTTTTCCCCAGACCCACCATCTGCACTGCTGGCGCAGGAGTGGTCCTTCTCACAAGAGTTGTTCACCATTCTGTTTTCCTCCCACTTGCGCTTGGCGCTTTGTCCTTTAAAATGGTAAAAGTAAAAGTAAAAATAAAGATAAAAATGGAACTAAAAATAAGAACAAATATAAAAGGAACATGGGAATGGAAAAGGAAACGCAAGTGGAAAATTGCATCATCCCTTTCGTGTATACATAATAATTTTTTTTTTTTTTTTTATCCTCTTCGGTCATTTATTTCTTTTCCTCTTTAAAATTTGACCTTTCCATTTTGATAACCTTTTTTTTTTTTTTTTTTTTTAAAAAATGTACCCAGCTTGGAAGGAAAAAAAAAAACAATTTTTTATTTTTTTCCTCCTTAGTTGAATCCTTTCTGCTTTCTTTTCAGCTTTTGCTTCAGCTTAAGCCTTTTGTTTTTGTTTTTACTTTTATTTTATTTAACTTTTTTTTTTTTTTTTTTTTTTTTT